AAAGATTCATTTTCATAATGTGTGTTTTCTGTGTGCAGAATATTCAAGGGTTTATGTGGGATGAGGAGAAGGTGAATAGGGAGCTAAAGAAGTACATGTCAAAGGCTTTCCAAAACATAAAGAGCATGTGCCAGTCACATGACTGCAACCTTAGGATGGGTGCATTCACTCTCGGAGTCAATCGCGTTGCTCGTGCTACTGTCTTGAGAGGCTGGGAAGCTTAAATCACTTCCTTACCCTTTTCTTCTGCATATTACTATCATACTTCATTGATATATATAGTCGAAAATTTAAACAAGCTGTGGAAAAGCCTAGATAATTTTCTTGTTGTTTTCATTATGTACGCATGAAATTTCACTGACAAATTGGAGTATACTACACAATGTGTATCTGACATTCATTTCAAATACTTTGTAGACAGATTATTACACATGGTTGGAGTTCTTCACCTACTATTGTTCTTTTTCTGGGTTTCTTTTTAACTTTTTCATGTAGTAATGCTTTCGTGAACTGCTTATAGTATTGGTATGTATGGAACTATGGATCCCAAGAAAATTAAATGCTAATTGAAATATTTTTGTGTTTGGTTTTAGTTGGCCCATTTCACCACACGAAAAATGCAAAGAAAGATGAATATGATTAATGTTTTTTAAATTTTGGCATACTCCTTTGACTTATTAATATTATATTAAACGAAGTTTGAAAAAACAAACAAAACAAATTTATTGTGAACCAGTGTTTTATCGCACCGCATTCTTTCCGTCAAAATTTCACCTATACTTTCCTCCCTATTTTATTTCCATGCCATTCTGCGAGACTGAGTTCCAAACGTTACCCAAGGATTTTCTTTCTTTCCTTGCATGCCCATCATTTTCTGAAAAAGAACAGAAAGATAAGATGATTTATCACACAGCATGGGCATCTTGCCTAGCTGCTAAACTTTATATGAACCCATCACTGTATAAGTGAAGAAGAAGAAGAAGAAGAAGAAAGGCTGCAAAAAATATCCACAGATTTCTTTGACATCCATGTCATCTCTAGGCATTACAGCTTCTTCTGTACACAGAGCTTCCAGCTCTCGTGATAATCCTGGAAACAAGAAACAGTGGATTAAACCTCATTCAACCATGGTGGGTGAAAGCCAAAATGGCAGAGACAAAAAGTCTCATCCCCTTCCAAGGTTTTCGGATAACCGATGGAAAAATGGTTCTTGGGATCTGAACGTGTTTGTAAGGAATGGAAGGATGGACTGGGATTCAGTCATTGTTGCAGGTATTTTACTATTATTAGAAAATAATATTTTAAGAATTCTACAGAAATATTAATTTTTTTTGCCACTATCATGCTTTCAGAAGCAAGGAGGAGAAAATGTCTTGAAGTGTTCCCAGAGGCGGCAATGAACCAGGAACCAGTTCTGTTTAGAAGCTCTATCATACCATGGTGGGCTTGGATCATGCACTCTCACCTCCCACAAGCTGAGCTTCTAAATGGTAAAAAACATAACATATCACATACTCCTATTTGCTCCCCCTTGTGAGCACATATACTTTCGTTTTAGCGAAAAAATTGCCATCAAATAATTGTTAGTTTCAGATACTACATTAATTGTTCATCCAGAAATAAACTAGCCTTACTGCATCAATGAAGGTGTTTTACTTGCTCCATCATACTCCCTCTATCCCCCAAAAATATCATTTGAAAACCTTTTCTTTGTTCAAAGAGTGACCACATTTAATCAATGGAAACCACTTCATATAAGTGTCCAAAAATGTGACGAAAATGGTTACAAACAAGTTGAGTATGGCACATTTAGTCTAACCAACATAAATTGTTGAAAATATAAGTTGAGTGTTCATTGATAGAACATAACTCTTTTTACATATACCATTTTCTCTTGATTTCAGCAACAACAACAATATTAAAAACTATTGTTATAGTAAGTGCAGGGAGGGCAGCAATGGTTGGATTTTTCATGTCATATATGGTGGATGTTCTAACAGGGCTGGACGTTGTTGGGCAAGCTGGTAATTTTCTGGGCAAGGCTGCCCTTCTCATCACTGTAACAGGTGTCTTGTTATTCAGGAAACGGCAAGATTTTGAAAAAATCAGAGAGGTAGCTGATGATGCAACCTTATACGACAAGCAATGGCAAGCATCACGGAATGATCAAAAGAGAACCTAAACATGCATGATTTCTTTTTATTTAGCTTGAAAGTTATCTATTTTAGAACACACGACCTTTGGCGTTTTTTATATCCGTTTGCTTCTTTCTTTAATTTTTGCGGTTCAATAAAAATGATTGATCTTTCCGTCATTTGCAACGGAGCCAAAGATTCATTATTTATTGGTTTGAGAATATGATGGAATAAAGCAAAGTGACTCACTAAACTGTCTGTGCTTCTTTGTTATGAAACAGCAGTCAGTCCATACAATTTTGGACGCGATTTTCACCATAGATCATCCGGAAACAGTCTCTCCGTACTTTAGTACGGGGTAAGCCTGCATACATCCGACCCCCTTACCCAAACGTATGTGGGAGCTTTTGTGACACTGAGGTAAATGATGATGATGAATAAAAAGGGTTGATCATCATCAGCCTTAATGAAAAGGGTATCTCGATGATTATATATCCATATACACCTTACCTTTTGCGATGCTTATTGTCAATTAGATAGCCACACAATTTTTCTTGATTTCCTACGACGTATTTTCTTAGATAAAAGTGTCATAAAAGCAAGTACAAAATTCCTCATCGTGTTATCTTTTCTCAACGATTTTCCAAGCTTATGACATACCTACAGAACTTGTTTGGTTAGGGAAAATCAGAGGGAAGGAAGAAGAGGTATGATTTTTATTTTAAATTATCCATACCTTTAGAAGATCGGAAAATAAGTGCAGCTGTGCAGATAAAAAAAACATATAAAAATACATGATCCCATTAATCATATTAGTATCTCTAGTTTACAACTGGCAAATAGAGATAGATTGGTAAAATAAAACAAATTTCCCTTTCACTCCTAAATCTTAAACCACCAAACAAGCATTGAATAAATCTATGGCACGTATGATGCTTATCAGTCTGTATTATAATGAACTATTAAAATTTTAAATAAGTCCATACCCCATATTAATTAGTGCAATGTCTCTACATTAATCTGGTCATTCCTAATTAACTATTTAAATGATCACAGAAACATTTGTGGAATACAATGCTGAGACGTGCTTCCACCAATAAATAAAATTACTATCTTATTAGTTTTGGTAAGCTGTTACATGGTATCATACATTTATTAATTTATACATAAATAAATACTCCGTATAGAATCTTCAATCTTCAACCCGAACTGAGCTTAGTAGCAGAAGAAGTTAAATTATTCTTCATGCTAAAGAAGTTCAACTATTTCGAGGGATCATGCACTCGCAAATATTTCGAAATGAAATAGACCCGCAAAACTGCACCTGTTGGATGTCTGATCAGACTAGGGGTGGGTTCGGTTCTTGCGATTCAATTTTGACCTAAAACCAAATATAGAACCAAAGTAAAAAGTTCGATTCGGTTTTGGTTCGGTTTTACACTCCAAAACTTGGAACCACGGTTTGATTGGTTCGGTTTGTTTCGGTTTCGGGTTTTTCGGTTTTTTACCAAAAAAATGTCATTTGATTTAAAATTGATATAATGATCATACATGTTACGTAAAGAATACAAGCACACTACAACAAATAATAAAAATGAGAAGAAATGAATGTGTCTTGATTATATGAGTATGCGAGAGAGATAAAAGTGTATAAATTATTAATATATGTTGTTTGTGACCACGTCGAAAAATGTTCATTAGTATATACGTAGTATGTGCTATGTGTTATAGTTGAGGTGAACATTTATTGTTTCATCAATATATAATCCTTAAGTTACATAAAAATAAAAGTTAAGAAAAAATTACATAAATATATGACTACTTTAAACCTTACTAACAAAAGTATGACTATTTACCCTATTTTTACTCGCATGTTGACGTCTGAGTTCCTCATTAATAGTCATATTTTTATAACCCCAAATACTTTTGGTCATATTCATGTAAAAAAACTCGTTAAGTTAATTCTAAACTAAACAATGAATGTGTATATGAATTTATAAACTAAACTAAACTAAACATAACACAAACATTATTTCTCTAGCACAAGAAAACCAAAGACTATTAATGATATTAGGATTAATTAGGATTAATGCTTAACAATTAACAAATAAATTTTTTATTTTAATTAGTTCCGTTTGTTCGGTTCGGTTTTGAAGGGTAAAAACCAAAACCGAACCAAACAACTACGGTTCGGTACGGTTTTTTACATTCGGTTTCGGTTTGTTAGCGGTTCGATTTTATTTGGTTGCGGTTCGGTTTAATTTGATTCAGTTTTCGGTTTTCGGTTTTTCGGACCCAGCCCTAGATCAGGCAGCCAAGGGAGCTTTGATTGCCAGATAGAGAGGCCCCTGATTAGGGGTGGACTCGGGCCGGGCCAACCGGCCCGCTATTGTGCGGGCCCGGACCGGCCCGCTACTGTGCGGGCCCGGACCGGCCCGCTACTGTGCGGGCCCGGCCCGGCCCGGTCAACCGGTTGGTGCACCGGTTCGGGCCACCCGGCCCGGTGGGATGGCGGTCCGGGCTCGGGCCCTGATTTTGGTGAACCGGCCCGGCCGGTTCGAGCCCGGTCCGGGCCGGATTTTAATTTTTTTTTTTGAATTTTTTTTAAGTTTTGGGTTGGATTAGGTATTTTGGACCATTTGAGGTGGTTTGGGGTTGAGGGGGAGGGGTAGGGGGTTAAAAAGGAGAACCAAAAAAAAAAAAAACCGGTTGGCCCGGCCCGGCCCGGCCCGGTTTGGCCCGGAACCGGAACCGCCCACCGGCAGTTCGGGCCCGGGCCCTAGTTTTCTGGCCCGAGGCCCGGCCGGGCCCAGGCCCGAACCGGGCCCGAACCGGCCCGAGTCCACCCATACCCCTGATCCAACGGAAACAATGCACATTGCACAACATATATAATAATCATGTCGTTAGTAGAATCAGAGTACCAACTGTAGCCCATCTATTCTCCTTGAAATTTGCATATCTCATGACATTTACTACCAACTTTACACAAAATGCCACTAAATTTGCTTGTAAAAACAGGTTTTTGTGGTGAGCTCCCCACAAGATATCTTTTCATCTCTACTTGTACCACTCTTTTAAGCGTATCACTGATGTCACCCAATGCCCAAGCTATGGATATATGTGGCCGTGGATCCTGCCAGCAACACACAATCATGTGATTGGCTAAGCAAAAAATGGTGGAATAAACAGTAGAAGAAAATATTACTCCATAGTTCTGTGACCTAACCTTGTAAAATTCTGGAAGATTGTGAAGCCTATAAACCTCATTAACAGCTTGAACCTGTTTTGTTATCTAGGAATATGAGAAACAAAATGAGTAGAGCAACATATTTTCGACTTATCGCTCTCAATGAGTAGAGCATGTATAATGCAAAATTAATTTCAGTTGCTACAAGAGAAATGAAGATAAAGAGACTTTTATCATCATCTTTTAGATACTATTTCTTTGATCAGTTGAAATGCTCCGTAAATTTTTAATGATTCTTCACATTCAATCATTTCAACAAAATTTCACTCTCACCAAACGGGATCTACACTCACTCTATGAAATACATAGTCTACATCTTGTAGAAATGAAAATTATCATTAATTTGTATTGTCAAAACTAGGGGTGCAAACGAGTCCAACCCAAACTTGGCCATGCTTGAGCTTGATAAGAATGCACTGACTCGAGCTCAAGCTCGAACGAGCCTAAGAATTTTGGCTCTAGCGCGATTTGGGCTCAATTCGATCTCGGCTTGAGTTTTGCTAATTATTTTTATAGGTTTGAGCTATAATAAGATGCTCAAACTTGAGCCCGAATTCGAGGTCAAAATAAAACTTCTATATCCAAAATTATTAATATTAATATTATATCTATAAATACAAAAGATAAATAATACTATCTATATAATATTTGTATTTTGTTTTTTATTGTTCTCATTTTTATTAGTTCCTCCTCCTTCACCGACACTTTTACTCCTTATTGTACCATCAATTATATTTTGAAATATATAAATAAATAAACATACATGAATAGATATAATGTGGGTGTAGACATAATCCGTGTACATATAAAATGTGTGTGTATTTATATATAATCATATACGGAGTATATAAATAGATTTTGGATCAAATAAAAAGAGGCATTCCCATGAAGAGTAAGAAAAAATATGGAGCATCAGTTTCATGATCTGATGGCTCTAAACATGTCAAAAGCGCATTCAAGTGGATGAAAAATGAAATAGCATTTTCATAAATATATTGAAGTTTTTCTTCATTACACAAAGTGCACTTCCAGTATGTAATAGTATACCGTATATGATTAAAAGTGGATGGTGAAAATAATTTCAATGCAATACTACACATGACATGATCAAAAGTAGAGTCGTCACATTTTATACGGGAAGACCACTTTTTATTGGAATCAAACACACACACACACATATAGGGTCAAGAACCAATGAGAACACTCATTCCCGTGAGAAATGAGAATGATCCAAAACGATGCACATTATAGTTCAAGGAGGTGCACATTTATAGTTAATGCACAATACAAATGCACATTTTCTAAATTACGATAATGCACATTTCTTTTTCACCCCAAAATCTTTGGGGATTAAGACTTGGATGTTGTTGCACATTTGTGTTTCACATGATGCAAGATGCCTAAATCCAACACTCCAGAATTATTCTCATTTCTCTGTCTAAATTATGTTCTCAATTGAACCAAATTATATATAAACATGTATATGTTATGGTTCGCGAGCTAACGAGCTATAAGGAATTGAGCTTGAGCTCACCTCAGTTGCTCAACAAGTCGGCTCGAGTTCGACTTTGATCGGACTCGATTTGAGTTTTGACTGAGTGACTCAGGAGCTGTTTGACTCGTTTTTATCCGTAGCCGAAACATTGTGACACTCAACATCAGTGTTAGGGTTAAGGCTGAATGAATATATACAAGAAATGGATTGCAAATACACAGGAAAGTAATGAAACATATTTCAAATAACTAGGTTAGTGCATGTTTGCGTGTCATACCTCAAATAAGCCTCCTGTGACAATTTCCAATGACAAAAACGTGCGTGAGCCATCATCATTCACAAAGACCTCCCATTTGTTAAAATTTATCCAATACCTTCCAACAATAATTACATTGGAAATCAGCTGAAACTTTAATAAAAAAACATCCTATGGTCAAGGTGCACATCCACATCTATGTAACAGAGAAGGCATTGCATTACCTCCGCTGAAATTGTAGCCTCTGACGAAGCATTGAGACTACTGAATTAATCTGGTGCACTCGAATGGGAACAGTCCTTCCCAAACTTATATGAAATTCCCTAGCTAAGGCAACTTGCTCAAGCTTACCCCCCTTGTCTCTTACTAAATTACTCAACGGTATATCAATATCAACAACATTGAGATCATGTACAAGAGATACTCTTTCCAAAAACTGGGCTAACTCCTTCCTTAGTGCTGATGGTATATGAACTGTAAGGAACAAACCACTATTATAACCAAGACATGTCTCATCCATAAAATAATTAACTGCATACAAGTTTGTTCTTTTATCCATTTATAGCTAAAATATTACCTTACCCTTATTTGGTAGGCGGGTTTCTGCGGGAAGAGGTGATCTTTAATATATTAACTTTTTCTTACACTAAGATAATTAGAATTAGAAATGAAATGAATATGAGAAAATATATACAAATGCATGACTTATCTAAACAAATATGATGTAGTAGTTAATTGCTATTCTATGATGACAGGTAAATACAGATAAGTTAGGTAAACAAACATCAATCCTCCCCTCCCTTGAAAAATAACCCAACCATATAAGCCCCAAAGATTATTAAAATGCTGAAATGAAAAAATTGAATATATTACAAATGCAATAGTGATTTTGCCAAGTGATGTACCTGGAATGTAAACATGAAGGGCGTAATTGCCATCTACATGAGGAAAGCTTCTAACTCGACTAACCTGACTGGTTTCCAAGCAATCGAACGAACCTTTACAGACCAAACACCGAATATCTGTGAGCATAACTAGGCAGCCAAAGAGTAACACAAATTACCACATCACAAATGTACTAATGGTTGAGAAATAAATTTACCCAATGAACAGGGCAAGTCAAGTAGAGCTGCAGGAGGCGGAGGCAGAGGCGTGAATGTCTGGGCGGCCATATCGGTGGAAGTGGAGGGTGGTGGAAGAGAGTGGTCGGAGTCTGAGTCTGATTCAGAGGAAGCGTCGCCATATGAGGCTCTCAAAGCATCCATCTTCTCACTTCTTCAAGCTTTTCTTCAAGCTTCAGTTCATCATAGTTCATCAATTCCAAATTCCTGCTACCAGCTAAATCCGGATGAATCTGGTTGTCGGGTTGGGCCAGGGGTAAAAAAGAAACTTCACTTAATTCTATATACAGCCATAAAATTACTATATACGTAGTACAGCCACTTGAATAAATTTAAAAAAATAAAATTACTCCCTATTAAAAATGTCTAATTTACCCTAATTTAAGGGTCTGTTTGCAACAACTTCTACTTTAAAAAAATGTTTTTTTAATGAAATGGTGAGAAATGATTAAATAAAAGATTAAAAGTTGATAGTATTTGAGAAAAAAGTGATTTTGAAAAGTAAAAGTTGGTAGTGTTTGATAAAATAAGTGTTTTTTGTGTAATAGAAAAAGTAAAAGCACTTTTGACACGAACGCCGGCAAAAAAATTAGTAGTATTTGACAAAATAAGTGTTTTTTAAGTCAAAAGGTGAGAGCTGCTTTTGACACGAGAGCTGCTTTTTTTGAAAGCATATACAAATCAACCCTAAGTATAACTTAAGTGATTTGCTACAAAATCCCAGTACGTTTGTTTTCTTCAAGTTTACCGACCAATGTTGTATTGGAATTACAATCAAGTTTGATCAGGAAACACCAAATTGTTCTTTTCTATTCACTCATCTACTTCGAGACCCGTTTCGTGGTTTGGTTGGACCGTAACTTTCCAGTATGTATATATCTCTTTGAAGAAGATGATGAACACTGTTGTTGAAATTAAATTGGGTTTGAATAAATATAAGGAGTACAGAGAAGTGAGCCTTGTAAAGATAACCCCAAAATCCTCTTCATTTTTGTTGCCAAGGTCTAAGTTGCCGGAAATGTCGCCGGAAAGTAGAGATGTGCGCAGAGTGAACAGCAATGTAGGTTTCAACTCTCCCCAGAAGTTGATCCCAACAGCTTGAAATTAGATGGGAAGCTTCGTCTGTCCTGGAATGTGATATAGAATGGATTATAGAATTTATAGGAATAGCTGGGTGGAAGAAAACTAGTCGAAGGTAGCTTAGAAATGGAAGAATAGAATGTGCAGACATAGTAAGGAAGAAGATGATGATAGAAAGAGATGAATATTATTCTGATGTCCTTTACAGCTTCTTTGCATCGTATTTATATCAGTGTGATTACAGCAGAAATATCAACTAATATAAACGGATGCAACAACCAAGCTAACAACTTGCTGACATCACTAACTGATATTCTAATTACTACGTAGTATATCAGAACACCCCTCCTCAACATCTTTGTCCTCAAAGATGAAAGTTAGGAAACTGTTGTGTAAACTCTGTTGCAAGCATCCAAGTAGCATCCTCTACTGCTAAACCCTAAATACTTCTTCCAAGTGTTTCCAGTGGTCATTTCCTGTGCGGCTGTATATCAATACATTATAAAAAAAACACCAGAACATATTTTCTGAGAATGGGTTTGAAAAAATGGTTCATGAGGCTTTGAAATGAAGAGGGAGCATTAGTTAAGCCAAAGGACATAACAACAAACTCATAGTGTCCTTCATGTGTCTTGAAAGCTGTTTTATATATGCATCCTTAGACATTCTGAATTGGTGATATCAAGCCCTTAAATCCAGTTTAGAAAATATAGTAGCTCCTCCTAATTCATCCAATAAAGGTATAGGAAATTTATCCTTTATTGTCTGATTGTTTAAACCTCGATAGTCAACCCACAAGCGCCAGGATCCATCTTTTTTTCCCCACCAATACCACTGGAGATGCATAGGGGCTGCTGCTAGTTTGTATGATTCCAGAATTCAGCATATCTTTGACTAAGCCTTCTATTATATTTTTCTGTAGAGATGGATACCTGCATGGTCGTTTACTGATGGGCTGAGATCCATTTTGTAAAGGTGTCTTATGATCAAATTCTCCTCTGGAAGGGGGTAACCCTACTGGTTCTTCAAAAATACTGGAATACTTCTTCAATAATTGCTCCATCTCAATATTCTTAGGAGAAGTTTCAGCATTTGTGGATAATAAACTACATTGTGTGTTTACTATTTGTACTTCTTGTTGATCTTGTACTTCAGATACCAATAATAGAGCAAGCTGGTTGTAACCTTTTGAGATTATTTTCTGATGCTTTTGTGATGACACCAATTTGATCTTGTTGTTATTATCTGCACCTCTGAGTACATGTTTTCTTCCATAAACCTGAAATTCCATCCTTAATTTTTGAAAATCCCATACTATGGGACCCAAAGTTGATAACCATTGTACACCCAATACAATATCACAACGCCCCAGAGGTAATACCATATAATCAGCACTGAATATGGTTTCATGAATTTTCCACTGAAAGTTTCTACACATATTTGAAACCATCATTTCGCTCCCATCAACCACAGATACTGTCATTGGTTTAATACCCCCCATAGTAAACCCCATTTTTTTGCAGTATCTTCATCGATAAAATTGTGGGCACTTCCATTATCTATGAGAATTTGTAAAGGTTTCTTCGGTGCATACCCTGCAATTCTCATAGTTTGGAAAGTTGACACCTCTGTTCTAAAAATCGTTCTAGGCGTCCGACTAGTCCCCTCCTAGGCGCTAGGCGGTGGCCGGGCGCCCCGATTTTCGTCTAGGCGCTCCGACTAATTGGTTTGGCGTCGAGGTGAATTAGTCGGTCGCCTCTGGTGCCGCCTAGTTGCCCGCCTAGAGCGCCTAATCGACTGCCTAGGCGTCTAGATTCATCAAATAGTATTTTACTTTTTAATTTTAATTCTAAGCGATACGTGTATTTTAGCTTTAGCCATGGATATACAGAAATGAAATTGTAAATTAAGATAACACTATATATATGTTTCTATATATGCCTAAATTTCATCATTATTTATATTTATAACATAATGAAGTTAAGTGATTAGTTATCATATACTACGTATGATTAAATGTGATAATTCTATCATTCATGTTTGTTAATGTATATGTATATATGTATTTTATACACACAAAAATTCAATAATACTTATCATATTTATGCAAAAATATAAATAAAAATGTAATTCTTTTGTCTCCGACTAGGCGCCCGCCTAGCCGCCTAGGCGCTGGGCTGGCGCCCGACCAGCGCCTAGTGCCTTTTAGAACATTGGTTGATACACCTGTCATAGCATTGACAGAAATGCAAGCTTCCAGGCTATCAGTTTCTTCTGTATTCATTTGATTATTGTCTTCTTCTGAGTATTCATCTTCCCCCTCACCTTCTATATAAAATAACTGGGGACTTTTAGGCTTTTGAGCATAATGATCAGGAGTAAAGGGATCACCACAGTACATGCACAACCCTCTTGACTTCCTCTTTGTCATTTCTGTTGGTGTTGGTAACCTCTGTGGCTTTTCTTGATGGCTTTGAGTCAATGTTTTAGATGCATGTGATGTTATTCTTGGAACTGGAGGTCTGTTATTTGGTGTAGGTAGAATAAATGCATTCTTTTGAAAAGCATAAGGTGCAACAAACTGTTTAGGCTTAGGTTCCCTTACACTTTCATACAGTTTTGCTATTCGGGCTGCATACTATATGGAAGTAGGATTGAACATTCTTACATGCATTTTGATGTCATGTTTTAAGCCATTGATAAAACAACTCAACTTATGCTCATCTGACAGAGTTAGCCTTGTTAAAATGACTTCAAATTGCTCAAGATAATCCCCTACACATCCCTCATGTCTTAATGACATTAATTCTACCATGGGGTCATCAAAGGATTTCCCAAATCTCTCTATGATCAGTTTTTCATAATCCCCCCATAGCATTATGTCATTATCTCCCTTGTCTTTTATTAAAGCATAATGCCATTGTAAAGTCTTTGATATCATCTGCTCCAAGTTTCCAATCTTGACGTTTAAACTCTGGAATTGACCTTTAGCTTTGTTGAATTTCTTATTCATGGTTTCATCCAAATCCTTCACCGTAGGTGCCATTGTTGGAGCTCAAATTAGGGCTGAATTTGATGTGGAATTACGACGGCAGTGGTGTTCAACCTCGCAAGTGCAGGATCATTGAGTCTCTGATACCAATGATATAGAATGGATTATAGGAATAACCGATTCTATTTCTTAAGCTACTTGGTCTAGCTGGGTGGAAGAAAACTAGTCGAAGGTAGCTTAGAAATGGAAGAATATAGAATGTGCAGACATAGTAAGGAAGAAGAAGATGATAGAAAGAGATGAATATTATTCTGATGTCCTTTACAGCTTCTTTGCATCGTATTTATATCAGTGTGATTACAACAGAAATATCAACTAATATAAACAGATGCAACAACCAAGCTATCAACTTGCTGACATCACTAATTGATATTCTAATTACTATATCAGAGATTCAGAATGTTGAGGCTCAATCAATCCTCCTTTTGAATAAACAAGCATTAGGTGTTGAAGGATTGGGGAAATCGGTTTCTTGCATATATGATGAGATTGTGTTAAGAAGGGTATAATGGGATTTATAAATACTTTTAATAATTACGGAAAAATATGGGCTACACATAGTTGATTTTAAAGTGTTTCCATTTTTACTCCTCCCACTATTATGTCACTAACATTTTTGATACTCGATTTTGATTTTTCCTATTTTAGTCCTCAACTATTATACTAGAAACACTTTTGGTACTCGTCTTTGAAAATTTTCATTTACAATCCTTCTACTTTCATAAAAGAGACACTTTTGGTCCTTCAACTATTATAATAGTGACATTTTTAGCCCTTCGCCTATTGTGTCAATGTCATAATGGAAGGATTAATAGTGTCAATTTGATAATAGTCAAAGGATTAAATGTGGAACTTTTTGAAGTCGAGAACTAAAAGTGTCTCTAGCACAATAATTGAGGACTAAAAATAGAAAAATTAAAAGTCGAATACCAAAAAATCATTGACAAAAATGGAGAAAACTCCTGTGTTGTAAGAACAGGCCCGGACTGGCCGGTTCAGCCCGAAACCCGCCCACCTGACCTCCTCGCCGGTCCAGTTGACCATCAAACCGGCCCAACCCGGTATTTGATCAAAACTAGAAGGAATAGTAGTAAGTGGGATTCAAACACGCACCTACCACAACCATTCCAAGCTACCGCCCAACGTGCTACACCAGCTAGTCGGTGAAAGCCGTTGCTTTAGTGTTCTTATACTGTGTTAACGTGAAATGTTTTTAGTAAGTCTTAATTTAATTAGTTAATTACATAATTAATCTATAATAATAATAGTAATAATAATAATTACATATCAATGTTATATTATTATACTTCCCAATCACGTAGGTAGTATAAGATCTTCCAATTATTATTTTGTACTCCTAATTGGTATTATGTTCATTTTTATTATCTATCTAAATCCAAATGCATTTTAAATTTTGTTAGTCAATATAGTTTAATACAATTTTTTTGACATGGCTTATATTGTATCATCAGTTCATCACCATTAAAGTTTGAAGGAATATAATTTTATATTTATGAATTTAAATCTTTTATATAGCTAATTATATATAGATAGATAGATTTAGTATCACATACAAACTAATTCTAATTTACAAAATGCAAACTAATCTTGGCCATTGATTTTAATAAGGTAACGGTGAAGATAGGAAACCAATCCCACAAATTGTGGCCGCATGTTGTGGTTAGAGGAGAAAAACTCTCCCACTAATATATTGGTGTTGACCGGGTTTACCGGTCGTTGATCGGGCTGACCCGCCGGGTCCAAGTTGACCCGTGACCCAGTCATTTGTTCGGGTCGCTTCCCGGTCCGGTTTTTACAACTTAGGAAATCTCTTAAGGGGGTGTTTGGAACTGATTCTGCTTCTGCTTCTTTTTTAGAGCAGCAGAATCAGAATCAGAATCAGTTTTCAGAAGCTGGTACCCCCAGCTTCTAAAAAAACTGATTCTGGCAATAAATTAGAACACCAGAAGTGCTTCTGGAATTTCACCCAAACACTCCAGCTTCTGCTTCTGCTCCTTGAAGGAGCAGAATCAGTTTTGAGAATCAGATCCAAACACCCCTAAATTTTATGGTCAGTGACTGTGGTAGACGGGTTGAGCCCATAACCTTAGAGCTCGTTTGGTAGTTTACACATTAAAACTTTGCATGCAAAATGATTGCACGTAAAGTTTAGGGCAGTAAAATGGTTTGCATGTGTAATCTATTTTTAAATTAGACGCAAACTCTTTACCATGCTCGGGAAAAAAAGTTTATATGCGAAAGGGGCCATGTTGCCGTTCTCTAGCAGCAGTGCCGCCAGTGCGATTTGATTTTTTTCTTTGTAACTATTTCGAACTAACACACAAGATGAGAACATATATTACTAATTTTTGCTTCAATTCAAGAATATGAATTGAAGCATATACCTCTTGATAACGTGGAGCGCAGAGCAGATGGAGAAGAGATTTGATGAATTGATGATTTGATGATTTTGTTGGCTTATACGGAGTACTTCGTATAGAAGAAGATATGAAGTTCTTGCCAGCAAATTATTTGCTTTGCCGCCACAGGCAAGTTTCCAAAGTAGCCTGCATCTAGGTCTTAATTGGTTCCAATATATTTATTCTCGGTCATATAAATGGATGTAAAATATTTTACATGGTATAGTGTAAAATGTATTTAAAAAAGCCCTACAGTTTCCATTAAATAATTAAAACAAACCATGTAAAGTGTTTACTGAAAAATGTTTACTTTACTTCCTCACAAACGGGCCCTTAAGTTGCTCGCAGGACGAAGAACAGGAGCGAAACCAGTCGACAAAATCAACTACTCCATTCCCGGCACTCGGTGAGCGTACAACTGAAATGTGTAGACCATGGAGGGCATAGAAACGCACAGGAACCTAAGAGGCAAGGAAAATGAGTTGGCTGACTACGGCCGTTTATCATCCAAACAGAAGGCCAGAATTTCCGAAAACTTCAAAGCTGCCAAGGCGCTTCTCGCTCGCAAAAGGCCCCGCGCTGCTTTCGATCATCAATTCCCTACAAAGTGAGTAGTCAATCAATATCCTGTTAGTTAGGTAGTCCCCGGTTGCAGCATTTAGTGGCTTAGTAGATGGCTAATTGAGCTGAAAGTGCATAATGAAACTGGCCTCGCCGTTGCTATGAAGCCTATGAGAATAT